TATTCTATATTATATCGCAATCAATATAATATATTTGAGCCTTTTTTTAGTGCTAAAGATATTATTTCAATTTCTAATTTAGATGTAGTAATAGTACCGTTAGTAGCTTTTGATAAACAGGGTTCAAGATTAGGTATGGGTGGAGGTTTTTATGATGTTTGTTTAAAAGATTGGAAGAAAGAAAAATTTTTCCCAATAGGTTTTTCATATGATTTTCAATTAGTTAATAATATACCCCAGCAACATTGGGATATTTCATTACCTATTATTTTAACACCGAATAAAAAATGGATTTTTTAAATTACTTTTTTTATAAAATTTTAAAAAAATTTCTAAAATTTTTTTTAAATTAAAAAATCACCAAATTTTATTTGTAATGCAGTAATCGCTACAACAGTAGCTGTTTCTGTTCTTAAGATTCTAGGTCCTAGTTTTATTGAAAAAAAACCATATTCAGTTATTTTAAAAATTTCATTATTTGAAAATCCTCCTTCAGAACCAACGATCATATGAACATTATTTGTATATTGTGGTAAGTGATTAATTGTTGATTTGGATTCTGGATGAAAAATAATTTTTGTGCTATTTTTTGTATTATTTTGACACCAAGAAAAAATATCTTGTGGGTATTGAATTATTGGAATAATATTACGACGACATTGTTGACATGAAGCAACAACTATTTTTTCCCAACGTTTTATTTTTTTTGAAAAATCAATACCTTTTTTTTTAACATTACAATATTCAGAAATCAATGGTGTAATAATATTGACTCCCATTTCAACTGATTTTTGAATAGTAAAATCCATTTTTTCATTACTAGAAATCACTTGTCCTAAATGAATGTGAAGTGGAGATTCATTATTTTTAAATTTACAGTCAAAAATTTTTATTTTAATAATTTTATCAGATAGATATATTATTTTAGAAAAAAAAATATAATTAGTATTATTAAATATTTCTAAAACATCTTCAACTTTCATTCTTAAAACTTTTTGAATATAATATGTATCATATCTTGATAAATAAAAAATTTGTTTGATTTTTAAATTTTCTTTAATATAAAGACGTGGAATATTTTTTTTCATATTTTTATTTTCTTTTACAGTTCTTAAAAATATAATTATTGTGATTTTTTTGTATTTGAAAGATTAATTTTTCTCTTTCACATTCCCACTTTGTAACAGGAAATTTTTTATCCCATAGACGAAATAGCATTTTTTGTTTTGGAGATAGAACAATTTTATATTGTTCACTCATATAAAAATAAGTTCGAGCTATCGTGCCTCGAGCTCTTTCAGGAGGCTCTACTAATTTTTTTTTAAAATCTATTTTCATACTACATTTTCCATATTGGGAACTTTTAATGTTCAATTGACTATACATAAAATTAGATCGATCTCCATTAATTTCTCCAATAGCAGGTTGTAAATTATGAAGATCAGATTGAATATATTTATATTTTTGATCTATTTTTATACATGCTTTGCGTCCTCCTTTTTTCCAACATTTTTTTTGATGTCCAAATTGCCATGCTGGTACAACATGTTCCCATTCAATTCGTGTTGCACGTATTTTATTTTTTCGGATTTTATATCCACAAGATAGTAAATTAGGAATACCTTTTTTTTGTGTCCAATTAATTTTACAGCCACAATAAAAAGAACCTGGGACATTTTTGTGGATTTTAATAGCTTTAAGTTTTACTTGATAGAAATTTTGTACAGTATTTTTTTTAAAATTATTTTTTTTATGTGAGAATAAAAAAAAAATACGCTAATTATGATTAATATTTTTTTTATCATTTTTATTTTATCTATTTTAAAAAAAATTTTTTTATATGATATATTTTATTTTATATGAATAATATATCTGTTATTTTTTAATATTAATCAGAAAAGTTATGAGTTATAAATTATATTTTTCTGATTATTTTTTTAATATTATTGTAATTAAATAATATTTTAATATATCTTATATTAACATCTTATATGTTAAAACCTTTTAATTTTATTTTAAAATATTAATAATAACATTGATCATAATAAGGAAAAAAAATGACTCAATATCTTTTTACATCTGAATCAGTTTCAGAAGGACATCCAGATAAAATTGCTGATCAAATTTCAGATGCTTTACTTGATGAAATATTAAAACAAGATGTTAAAGCACGCGTTGCTTGTGAGACTTATGTTAAAACAGGAATGGTTTTAATCGGAGGAGAAATTACAACAACTGCATGGGTTGATGTTGAAGAAATTACTCGAAATACTATTAATAATATTGGTTATATCAATTCTGATGCTGGATTTGATGCTAATTCTTGTGCAGTTTTAAGTGCAATTGGTAAACAATCACCAGATATTAATCAAGGTATAGATCATGAAGATCCTTTAGAACAAGGAGCTGGAGATCAAGGAATTATATTTGGTTATGCAACTAATGAAACAGAAGTATTAATGCCAGCACCTATTACTTATGCTCATCTTTTAATGAAAAAACAATCTGAACTAAGGAAAAATAATATTTTATCTTGGCTCAGACCTGATGCTAAAAGTCAAGTTACTTTTCAATATAAAAATGGAAAGATAATTGGAATAGATACCGTAGTTTTTTCAACACAACATCAAAAAAATATTACTCAAAGTATTTTAAAAGAAGCAATTATGGAAAAGATTATAAAACCAGTATTGCCTAAAAAATGGTTAAACAAACATACAAAATTTTTTATTAATCCAACAGGTAGATTTGTTATAGGAGGACCAATGGGAGACTGTGGTTTAACTGGTCGTAAAATTATAGTAGATACGTATGGTGGTATGTCTAGGCATGGGGGAGGTGCTTTTTCTGGTAAAGATCCTTCAAAAGTAGATCGTTCTGCAGCATATGCAGCAAGATACGTAGCTAAAAATATTGTAGCTGCAGGTTTAGCTGATCGTTGTGAAATTCAACTTTCTTATGCCATTGGAATAGCGGAACCAACTTCTATTATGGTTGATACTTTTCAAACTGGAAAAATAAGTAATACTTCTTTAGTGTCTTTAATACGTCATATTTTTGATTTGCGACCATATGGAATAATTAAAATGCTCAATCTTCTTCGACCTATTTATTTAAATACCGCAGTTTATGGCCATTTTGGTAGAGAAGAGTTTCCATGGGAGCGAATAGATAAGATAGATGAATTATCTGCATAAATTTTCTTATATTTTTTGTACATTAAAATTAAAATATTAAAAAATACTTTTTATAAAATTATTAAGAGTATGAAAAGGGACAAATATACTGGTATTATTATATGTCCCATGTTAACTAGCATGGGAAAACTTTTTATTTTTTATTATTCATATAATCTTCAAAAGATAATATATCTTCTTTTTCTATTTTTTTTTGTTTTTCGTGTGAAATAAGAACTTCTTCTTCTAAAATTTTTTTATGAGTATTTGAGTATAATCTATTAATAAATTTTTTATGATATTTATTAGCTAAATATAATCCGCTTTTTTTAATATCTTTTGGTATGAAATATTTTAAAAATTGAGCAGAATAAGTCAATTCTGGTTTTTTAAAAAACAATATTATTTTTTGACATACTTTTTGATATAATGAATTATTATTAATATTATCTAATATTAATGCAATTTTATTTAAGTCTTTAAATATTATTTCACTTATTTCAACTAATGTTTTTTTCTCATAGTTGTTATTAATATAAATAGTTTGATTAGGTTTTCTTCCTTCAAAAATTATTTTTTCCCAATTTTCAGTACTTAATAAAAAATTTGTTTTATTCATTTTAGGTGCATCGATTAGAGCACACCAGATTAAAAATAAATCTAATAGTAATATTTGATTTTTACTGATACCTACGGATGAAAATGGATTAATATCTAAAGAACGTATTTCAACATATTCTATACCTCTGTTTTTCAGAGCATCTATAAGTGTTTCACCATATTTTTTATTTCTTTTAGGTCTTATTTGTGTGTAAAGTTCATTTTCCATTTGTAAAATATTAGTATTTAATTGTTTAAAATTACCTTTTTTATCTTTTAATCCTATATTTATAAATTCTTCTGATGGTTTTTCTATAGCATTTTTGAGTGATTGAAGATATGATTCTAAATCATTAAACATAATATTCAAATCTATAATTTTTTGATTAGTAGATCTAATATTACTTAATCTTAATGAAGTTGCCCATGGCAAATAAAATATATTTTCTTGATTTTTTTTAAACTCGTATTTTTGATTTTTATTTTTTAAAAAAAACGATGAAACAGCTGGTGATGCTCCAAATAAATATGGAATAATCCATCCAAATCTATAATAATTTCGAATTAAATTTAAATAACCTGCAGAAACATAATCTACATTATTATTTTTTCCGTTTGTTTTTCTATAATTCTCCCAGAATTTTATGGGTAATGAAAAATTATAATGTACTCCTGAAACAGTGTTTATCAGATCACCATAACGATTTTTTAAGCCTCTTCGATAAATGTTTTTTATTTTTCCCATATTAGAAGAGCCATATTCAGCAATTTGAATATTTGTTTGGATGTCATAACAGTATGGTATACTGAAGGGCCATAAACGTTCATTTTTTATTTTAGATGCCACAAAACAATGTAGATCTTTTAAAAAAGATAATACATCATCTATTTTATTACTTTTTGGAGTAATAAATTCTAATAAATTTTCGGAAAAATCAGTAGTGATCCATTGGTGGGTTAAAGGTGATCCAATTGAAAATGGATGTTTATTTTGTGAAAAATTTCCATTTTTTTTGATTCTTAAAGTTTCACGTTCAATTCCTCGAAAAATACTTTCTAATATTTTGGGGTGTGTTTTTAACCAAGAAATTTTTTTCGAGATGTCTTGTATCAATGTTATCTCCTAATTTTTTAAATATTTTTTTGATAACTTTTAAAAAAATTTAGTACTATGATATATGTATTATATTTTTTGAATTGAGAATTTTTTGGATTTTTTTATTTTGCATCCGGAAGGATTCGAACCTCCGACCGCTCGGTTCGTAGCCGAGTACTCTATCCAACTGAGCTACGGATGCAATTTTAAAAATGAAATAGGTAGTGGCGGTGAGAGAGGGATTCGAACCCTCGATGCAGATATTTTCTACATACTCCCTTAGCAGGGGAGCGCCTTTAACCTCTCGGCCATCTCACCTGAATATATTTTTTTTTAAAATTATTTATAGTTTTATTCTACTTTTTTTTTAATATAAGTCAAATATATTTTATATAAAATTTTTATTGTTTTGTTAAATAAACTAAATTTATAAAATACTAAAAAACTACATCTTACTTGAAATTAGTAAGATGCGGTTTTTTTAGCAATTTTTTTGTTGTTTTTTTTCAGCTTGAATACGTTGATATATTTCTTCACGATGTACCGAAACTGATTTAGGGGCATTTACACCAATACGAACTTGGTTACCTTTAACTCCTAGTACTGTTACAGTGATCTCGTCGCCAATTATTAACGTTTCGCCAACTCGACGAGTTAGAATAAGCATTCTTGTCTCCTTGAAAAATTAAAAGAGTTTGTCCTTTCCAGTTCCTGGCGTTATGAATAATACAGAGTTAAACGTAGACTATGAAAATATTTAAATAATATATACGATATATACTTTATATGAATGTGTTTTATTAAAATAGTTTAATCTATAAAATATCAGTTATAAATAGTTATTTTTTTTTAATTGTGTATCAATCCATACCTTAATGTTTTTTAAAACTATAGAAAGTTTTTTTGTATTAACACCACCTCCTTCAGCAATATCTTTTTTACCCCCTCCCTTTCCATTTGTTTCCTTCATAATTATATTCATGATTTTTATAGCTGTGATGTCATTAATTAAATTTTTTGTGATTCCGATAACGATTGTAAAATGATTATTATTAATATTAATTAATATAATTATCGAATTCTTTAGTTCTTTTTTTAATTGATAAACTATTTTTTTCATTAATTTATGTTCATAGTTATAAAATATATTTTTAATAAATTTTATATCTTGTACATAATCAATGTTTTTAATTAATTGTTTTATGTGAGATATATTTTCTTTTTCTTGTAATATACTTATTTTTTTTTCTAAATCTGTTATTGTAACTGTTAATTTTTTTATTTTTTCTTTAATATAAAAACTATTACAGTTTAAAAAAAGAGAGATATCTTCTAAATAATTATCTTTTTTATGTAAATAATCTATTGCTTTTTGCCCAGTGACTGCTTCAATTCTTTTGATTCCTGATGCTACACTTGATTGATTAATAATTTTAAATAGTCCTATTTCTCCAGTTCTTTTTACATGTGTTCCGCCACATAATTCTATAGAAAAATTATTTATAAAAACTACTCGAACTATAGATTGATATTGATTTTCAAATAAAGCAATTGCTTGCTGTTTTTTAGCTTCTTCTAAATTTAATTCTTTAATTTTAATTAGAATATTATTACGAATTTGCATATTAACAATATATTCAATTTGTTGAATTTGAGCTCTTTCTATAGACTTGTGATGAGAAAAATCAAATCTTAGATGTGTATCAGTGACTAAAGATCCTTTTTGACTAATATTTTCTCCGAAAATTTTTCTTAATGCAGCATGTAATAAATGTGTTGCCGAATGGTTTAGTTCAATAGAATGCCTATAATCTCGATCAATTTCACTATAGAGATAATTATTTACTTTAATTATCCCTGAGATTAATTTTCCAATATGTCCTACTGTTTTTCCATATTTTTTTGTATTTTGTACTATGAAGCATGATTCTTCGTTATATAGTCGACCTATATCGCTTATTTGTCCACCTGACTCCGCATAAAACGATGTCGTATCAAGAAAAATAATTCCATCCTCATTAGGCATAATTTTTTTAACTGAAACGTTTTTTACAAAAATAAATTGTACTAATGATTTTACTTTGTATTGTTTATAACCTTGGAACACGCATGTATTATTTACAATAATATCTTCATTATAGTTTTTATAAAATTTCTTACGAATATTAGATTGTTCCCTTTGCTTTTTTTTATATGATTCGTAACTGATATAATCAATTTTGATATTTTTTTCACGACATACATCTGCTGTTAGATCAATTGGAAATCCAAAAGTATCATAAAGATAAAATGCAGTTTTTCCTGAAAGTATATGATCATGTGTTTTTTCTATTTCAGAATGTAATATTTTAAGGCCTTTATCAAGAGTATGAGAAAATTGTATTTCTTCTGTTTCTAATATTTTTTCTATTTTTTCTTGTTTTTGTCTTAAAATATCACCTGCATCTCCCATGACTGAAATTAAGTTAGAAACAAGTTTATAAAAAAAATTTTCTTTAATTCCAATTTTATGACCATGTCTTAAAGCTCTTCTAATAATTCTTCTTAAAACATAACCTCGATATTCATTAGATGGAGAAATATTATCTGCAATAATATATGCACAAGATCGAATATGATCTGCTATAATCTTTAAAGAAACATTATTTAAATCTTTAATAATAGTATATTGAGATATATTTTTTATTAATTTTTGAAATATATCAATATTATAGTTAGAATAAACATCTTGTAAAACAGCAGATATTCTTTCTAATCCCATACCTGTATCTATACATTTATTTGGTAAAGAAATAATTTTTGTTTTTGAAATGCGATTAAATTGTATAAAAACAATATTCCAAATTTCGACAAAACGATTATTTTTATTTTCTAGAAATTCTAGTGAATTTTTTAAAATTTGAGCGCCATAATCATAAAATATTTCAGTACAAGGACCACACGGTCCAGTATCGCCCATTTGCCAAAAATTTTCAGAATTATATTTTAAGTTATTTTTATCACCAATTCTGATAATTCGTTCAGGTGGTACTTTAATAATATTTTTCCATATTTCATATGTTTCATTATCATTTTCATATACCGTAATCCATAATTTATTTTGTGGTATATTAAACCAATTTTGAGATGTTAATAATTCCCATGCATATGAGATAGCTTCTTTTTTAAAATAATCACCAAAACTAAAGTTTCCAAGCATTTCAAAAAATGTATGATGTTTTGAAGTATATCCTACATTTTCTAAATCATTATGTTTTCCTCCAGTTCTTAAACAACGTTGTATAGTAGCTATACGAGGATGATTGCTTTTTTTTTGTCCTAAAAAAAAATCCTTAAATTGATTCATGCCTGCATTAGTAAACAATAATGTAGGATCATTATATGGCACTAAAGAGCTACTGGGAATAATTACATGTCTTTTTTTTTCAAAAAAATTTAAAAATTTTTGACGTATTTCATTTGTACTTTTTTTCATAATGATTCTTATTAATTTTATTAATACAAATTTTAACAACATAATATTTTATTAAAATAAAAGTGATTAAATTTATAAAAGTGATTAAATTTTTTTTATTCCCTAAAAATTTAAAAAATATTTTGCTTAATTAATATTTTCATATTATATATTATAATTAGATATTTTTATTTAGTTTTAAATATTTTAGATTTTATTTAATGAGATTATTTTTGATATTTTCTCAGCTGTTTGAAAAATTCTTAATGCAATATAAGATTTTTTCATATATACAAGAGCTTTTCTTGCAGCTGGTGTTTCAGAATATTTCTGAATCATTTCTTCACCTCTATTGACAACAGCTACATATTCTTTATGCAAGAAATAAAATTTTAATATTTTAAGATCATGTTCTGAAAGACGATATTTTAAATATATTAAATGTTTCTTTGCATTGATAACATAAAAGCTTTTTGGATATTGATAAATAAAATTTTTTAATTCGAAAAATGCACTTATAGCATAATAAGTATCGTTTTTATGATAATTAATAAGCCATTCTTGAAAAAATATATTTTTATCCATAGCCATTTTAATTAAGCACTGCATATATATAATATAATCCATATTTGGATGATTTGGATAAATACGTAGAAATTCTTCTATATTTTTTTGAGCTGTATTGAAATTGCAATTTTTGTAATAAGCATAAATTAAATTTATTTGAATTTTGTCATGAATAAAATAAGTCATATGGTTTTTTTTTAATTTTTCTAATATGAAAATTGCATCATTAAAATTTTTTTCTTTTAATTTTTTTTGAGCTTTTTTATAAACATTATATGTCTTTATAAAAAAATCATTATTTGAAGATTTACAGCATACTGTAAAGTTTAAACATATAATTAAAAAAATGCATATGATATTATTTTTTTTTATTTGGAATTTTTTATTGAAATTCATAAAATTTTTTATTCAGAATATTTTTTGTTTGGTGATGAATAGAATATCATATTTTCTATTAATTAAGGATTCGGTTTGATTAACAAAAAAATATTTATTTATCTATCAAAAGGATAATTTTATTGAAAAAAATAGAATTAAGTACGATTGTATCTTCTATTGCTTTATCAGGAAAAAGATTAGATCAAGTATTAACTCATTTGTTCAAGCAATATTCTCGTTCTTATTTAAAACAGTTAATTCTTAAAAATAAAGTATTTGTTGATAAAAATATAATTAATCAGCCTGATAAAAAAATATTCGGAGGAGAAATTATTAGTATTTATCCCGATTCGAAAGAACTTTTTCTTCATTTAGCTGAAAATATTTCTTTAAATATTATTTACGAAGATTGTGACATAATTATTATTAATAAACCTGCTGGTTTAGTCGTTCATCCTGGTGCGGGGAATCATAAAGGAACTATTTTAAATGCATTATTATATCGTTATCAAAATATTCAGCATTTGCCTCGTGCAGGCATTGTACATCGTTTAGATAAAGATACCAGTGGCTTAATGGTAATTGCAAAAAATTTGATATCTTATAATTATTTGTTAAAATTATTGAAAAAAAGAAAGATTACTCGAAAATATCAAGGCATCGTAAAAGGAAATATGATTTCAGGTGGTACTATCAATGCTCCCATAATACGTCATAATGTTAAAAGAACATGTATGATGGTACATAGTTTAGGTAAAAAATCTATTACTCATTATAAAATAATAAATCGTTTTAGATTTCATACGCATATAACGATAAGATTAGAAACAGGACGTACACATCAGATTCGTGTACACATGTTACATATTAGACATCCGTTAGTTGGCGATCCTATTTATGGTGGAATGAACCAGAAGAT